GAATACTTCATCACTAAGTTTGATCTCCCGACCAACTATCTTCCCGACACGGAGAGGATGAGGTACTCATACGAGCTATACCAACATGGTCGTATGAAGCAAAAATATTCGTGTGAGAGCGATGATGAATCCCCTGGGACGCTTGATGATATACAACGTGCAAAGCTCGCATCAGTTAGTTAGAATATGCCTACCTTTTGAAGGAGTACTGTTTGTCTTGTGTATGGAGAGTTGAACCATGTTGATACTATTTGGCATTATGTTTTGTTGCAATTTTTTTTTTTTTTTTTTTTTTTTTTACTTTTTGGAAAAAAATGGCAGGGGCAAAAATGTCCAAAGGGGGCGGTACATAATAATAAGGGGGTGATAAATAGTAATGCCCTTATTTTTTCTATAACTTTTTAGTGAAAAGTTGAAAGTGGTACTAATTAAACCTAGCATTATTATTATTATTCTTTGTCTTGGGGATTCTTTCTTTACTGTTTCTTTTTGAATTACAAGGAATATGTAAATACTATACTATGTATCCCCTATATATAATTTTCGAGTATACTGAACTTAACTAGCAGACTCGTATGCTTCGATCCTATGTGACAAATTTTTAAGCTTTGTCATATGCTTGAATGGATTTTAATTTACTTCAATTCCAATAATAACTATGCATGAAATATCCATCAATATACATGATATTTATAATTCTTTTCAAGAGCATTAATTATGATATAATATCATTTCCTAATCTAAACATGGTTTATAAAGCATAATTTTTTCTCAATCTTTATTTTTTCCTCATCTTTCTTTTATAATTATAAAAACCTTACTGAGTTAAATTATAATTATACTTAAAAGTTAATAATTTTATATTGATTATCAAATTTTTATATATAATATATCAAATTAACATGTCTTGATGAGTTTCGATATTACATCTATATTGTACATACAAGATAATAAATAATTACATTTATAATAAAAAATAAAATTACCTATAAATATTAATTAGAAACAATAAAATTATTTAAATTAATTTAACTACAAAGTAATTTGATGGCTGTCGAAACCAACAATAGTAAATTTCTGCTTGTAATAATAACTGTAGTAGTGGTAAGCAGGGTCGTATTCACAGAGATTGACTAGACAAAGTATTGATGCAACTACTCGTGAAAGAAATAAAAAATAAAAATGATAAGGGTTTTGATGATTTTATAAAATAAAATATAATCTAACTAATAAAAATAAAGACAAAATTAAAATGAGGAAGACAAAATATCCAACCAAATGAAAGAACCGTTGAAATGGTTCGGCGATTCAATCACAAATGCAAAGATAATTTTTCTACTCCCGATTAAACTGGTTATGGTTATTGGTACGACTAACAATCTATCTTTCTTTACTTGTTCGACAATTAGGAAACGATTTCTAATTATTTCTCTAATCAATAGACAACCCCATGATACAATCGTAGGATTTAATCCATCAACAACATTGAAACGTAGAAGAACCACAAATTCTAGCTAGCAAATACACATGTAGGATTATTTAGACTAGATCATATATCGCCCTAAACATACAATCGAAAACCCTTATTAATCAACTATGTTATTTATACCATTAAACCATTACGAATTTAAGGTCCTAAATGACGTTATCTGTTTCAATAATCGAAAAATTGGCCAATATGCATCAATCAATAAAAAAAATTGATAATATTCACAAGATCATTAATAACTATACATGAAATATCTATAAATATACTGGATATTAATAGTTCTTTTTAAGAGCATTAATTATGATATAATATCATTTTCTAATCTAGACGTGTCTTAGAAGGCATAAGTTTTTCTTCAATATTTATTTTTTCCTCATCTTTCTCTTAAATTATAAAACATTTACTAACTTAAATTGTAATTATATTTAAAAGTTAATCATTTTTTTATTGATTATCAATTTATTATGCATAATATATCAATTTAATCATGTCTTGATGAATTTTGATATTACATCTATATTATATCTTCCTCCGTTAGAATTATGTCACTTTTCTATATTCACCATAATTTGAAGCTCTCCATTACTGCACACTGGCCTCTTTTCTCCTTTCTAGCACTGAACCAATCCTAACTTTCGAGTTTTGACTGTAGAGGAGAATCGATCAATACACCTAAAAGAAAAAGAATAAAAGGGTGAAGTTTAATTTAGGTTTAACAAAAGGGAAATCTAGAACAGTACTACAAGACTAAAGGTAAAAAGTTAATCCAAAANTTAACCTTGTATACCATGGACCAAAAGACAATGGCGAAACAAACAATAACATATAGAACTACCACAAACAATATTCAATTGAAATTTTTTTAGACTCTTAAAAAGTTTACATGTATTCAATTAAAATTTTATAAGAGTCTAACAGTTGCCCGTTATTCATGTTATGAAGATTTTATAGGACTTTTAAAAGTAAATGATTTTTGGAGACTTTTTTACCAAAAGTTTAAGGAAAAAATACTTCTAAAAAATCTCACCAACTTTGTGAGATTTTACATGAAAACTTTTCTCTCTCTGGTCTACCAGGCACTCTCGTACTCTTTTCTCTTTAGGGTTTCAAGGTAAAAAATAAATTTTAATACATCTTGTTGGTTAATTGATTCTGTGAGTTGTTGATTGATTCAAATTGTGTAGTTGATATTTCTGAAGTGCTAACTGATTAGAACACTAATCTACAGCCTAGTGTATGTACAAGTTTCGAGTGTATTATTTGTTATGAGTATGATGCCTGAAGCTCTGTTCGGTCAATGACTTACAAGTATAATTGTTTTATTGACTAATCCTTTCCAAGGGATGGTTCATGTAGAGGAGTATCTAAGTTGGTCTGGAAATGGCTAGTAATATTGAAGCTAGATTTTTTAGGCTTGTTCTCTTTGTGTGTTACTAAAGTTTCAATAATTTTAGAGGTTCAAATGGGAATTGAAATTTGAACATTCGGTATGTTATTACGTGAAGTTTGAAAAAGATTCAAACGAGAATTGAAATTTGAATATTCAGTATGTTAGTTTGACAATGGTGGTTGGGACTCAGAAGAACATCATCATTTAGATGACGGGGTTGTTTTTAGATAAAATGACAAGTTGAATAACCAGTGTGCTATGAGGATAAAGGGGTGACCAGCATCAGTAACATATTAAGGATGAAGTTTTAATAGAAGATGAAGCTCAAGATATTGGACCATATTTTGAGAATTAAAAACATGAAACATAAGTCACAAATGCGTGGAGATTGAGTTTGTCAACAATCATGTGGAATGATGCGACAAATATTTAATGTATTGCTAGTTTTATTTTTGATTTTTCTATTTTTCTTAAAATGTCAATAAGATAAATATTGCACTCTTTTGGTTCGACTGTTGCATATTTTTCAAGCTTTTTTTTTTCCTTATCAAGTTCATTTGTTGTAATATTTTTTTGTCTTGTCTTCATTCTAGCTCAATATATATTGTTTAATATCATAACACATTTTAAATTAATATTGTAATTTTTATATTACTAATTTGACTTTATTGATATTTATTATGCAAATAATTTTTATGAGCATTTCATACAAATTTAATAATTATATAAAAGTATTAAAAAATCCTAAAAAGTTCACAATAAAAATCTTAAAAAATCTCCATAATAATCTCACAAAATCCACAAAAATCATTAAAAATTACATAAAGTCTACAAAAATCATCAATTTCAAAGTCTTTCATAGTATTAGTTAAATACACCCATTAAACAAGATACATTGATTGAAAATCTAAAGCTTGAAATTTCCATCTTGTAGAATTTTTTTTACTCTAAAGAGAGAAAAAACTTCACACTTGTGGAACAAATAACAAAAGATAAGATCCTAAAAAGTGGAGAAAGACGCGAGTAGTTTCCAAAATCTCAAACAGCATTTAAATCGTTACAGTCGCCGTTCATAGACATCTAATTTTAGTCGATTATAAGTTAATACCCAGAATTAATTCGGTTTCGGGGAAGATTGAATCTCGTTTTAGATTGTGGTAGAAACTACTGATACAAGAAACCAGTGAGACCTCAGAAATCGGCGGAAATATAATTCGCCTGTTTAGTTACTGGGCTTCTTGCACTAGATTTTGAGGAGGTAATTAAACCGCAAGTTCATTTGCTGCAGTCGTATGAATGTACGTTTTTTATAGCAGAAAAATAATATATCGGCCTTATTCCGAACTCGTGGATTCTATTTTGTTATATTGTGTTTTTTAATATAATAATTTTGGTGATTTTCCCGTCGTTAGGTCTTTTTTTCAATTTTAGTTCCTGCTGTTAGCATTTCAACTTTAATAAGGAGGCAAGACAAGTTTAATAAGATACTGTATTTCAACTTGGAGTCTTGTGGGTTTGAGGAAATACATTTACTCAACTGTTTTTTCAAGTTTTGATGCTGGATTACTAAGGTTAGCAAACATAAGAAGCTTGTCTTAACCGTGTAACCTTAGAGATTGTTTATAATTTGCTGCAATGTCTAGTGACAGCATGTCATGTGTGGGAAAAAAAATTTATTTAACATTAAAGAACTGGATTAAGAAACTCATTCCTTGAATTGTAGTGTTCAAAAGATCAAGAAAAAATGATTTACAATGATGATTGTGCAGGTTATCATGAGCGAGGTACAAGATACAACGTTGAATGCTGATAAGCCAGGTGTTAAAATCAGTGGACATCCTAATTTGGTCCGTGTACATAATTTCTTCTCAAAATTTTCTGAAAATGTGTGCGAGTTTGTTAAGGTATGTGGCCCCTTTTCATAGTCACTTGAGCTGTAATTTGAATCTAAGAGATGTCAAATCCAGAATAACAACTTTTCAGATAATACAAGTATTTAATGAGTATGAAATCCTTAGATTGTATTTGGTGATGTTCTGTTTGGCCCTTATGGTGAAAAAATCAACGTTCTACTCTGATTCACTTCATTAGACAATTTTCTTGGTTTTCTGCAGGTTCATCATAAACAATTGAAGAGTGATGGCCGTGTAATTAAGTCAAAGTTCCCGACATTGAGCAATAAAGGTTCATATACTGCAACTTTGAGTTTAGAGAGGCAATTGAAGGCATGGAAAGACAACCCAGATTGGGTGGACCATCCTCCAGATATAAAGGTTATAATAAGTGGAGGCATCTAACTTGGGGAAATTATCAAATATGAAGTATTCTTTTTTTTTTTTTTTTCNCTTTTTCCCATCTTGACGATCTAAATATAATATAGCCTAATTGTTAATGGGGCTTTTCCAGTCATATGGATAACAAGATTTAATAGCAAAGAAAACTGATTTATGAAACTGAAAGATTGGTGGTATGCATGGGATCAACTGATTACTTGTCAGATATCAAATTTTTGTGTTTTATTGTCATTTAATGCTGACAAATGCTTTATAGCTCAGTTCAACTATTCTTCTGATTTTTGGGTTGCTAAACCAGTCTACTTCCTTGATGTTTAAAAGCATAAACTTTGCAGGTCACCATTCCTAAAGGTTCTCTTTCCAACCTGAGTTTGACAGTTGATGTTGGATTGCCGCCAGATGCCATCTATAACATTGTGACAGACCCTGATAATAAGAGAGTTTTCAAAAACATTAAGGTAATAATCATAATCTTGGTCATGTTTTTTTGGCTTTTTATTTTTATGCATGGAAATAAATGTGCTCCAGGATGTAGTAGAAACTTGATGTCACAATTATCTCTCGTAACAGAGTTTACACAGACATTAAGGTATAATAATCATTATGTTGGTTCTTTTTTACCTTTTTAAGTTTTTTGCACCATGAAACTTAACATTACAGGCATCTATGTCTTACATCCTATATATCCTCAGGAAGTAATTTCCAGAAAGGTATTAGTTGATGAAGGATTAAGGCAAGTAGTTGAAGTGGAGCAAGCAGCTATTTGGAGATTCCTTTGGTTATCGGGCACAATCTCGGTTCATGTTTTGGTCGATCAGAACAGAGAAGATTATACAGTAAGATTATATAACTTTTTCTAGCAGCAATTTGGAGATTCCTTTAGTACATGTCACAAAAGAGTCGTGATTTCATGATAGTTTTTAGACCTTATGATATTCTCTAGTTACCACCTCGATTTACATGAGTCACATTTTTCACAAAAGAGTCGTGATTTCATGATAGTTTTTAGACCTTATGATATTCTCTAGTTACCACCTCGATTTACATGAGTCACATTTTTCTTTACCATAAGTTGCTCTGTGGCATGGGTTGCAATAATCAGTTCTCTCGTTGGTCTTCTGCTGAAGAGCAACAGTCGTAACAATTTTTTTTTTTTTTTTTTTTTATTTAATGTCGGATGAAGGAAATTACTTCACTTATCCCCATCTATTCTGGAGAAATCGGTACACCATCGCCTCTCGTAGACATTCGCGTTCCTGCTTGAACTCAATTGAACTGAGGCTCGAAATGTGGGGTTATATAAAAAAAAGAAGGCCTCAAAGATTCCAAAAAAAGTCATACTTACTGAAAAAATTGCATCTTTAGAAAATTCATACAATTCATATCATCATGTTATATTCGTGTGGCTTGGTGTTTTTCATGTTATCTATGTTGAAGCAAAAAATGTGAAATTCGCTAAATTTACAAATTACATGCAGTCGTGTTGCACCAAATGAGACGGTGCATATTAAAATTGTAAAATTTACAAAACAGTCGTGTTTCTAATCGTGTCTAGTCACCCACGACCATCACTGGATGTGGTCCAGATGAGAACCAAATCCTAGCGTGAAAACCGTGAGAACCGCTATTTTTAACTAGAATGTATTTTATTAAAAATAGGAACACAATTTCTATTAGCATTTGTGAAAATGATAGCATCATATAATATTAAAAATAAAATCATACACAATTAAAAATAGCATCAAATATGGTTTTCACGGTTCTCACACCAGGAGTAGTTTTTAGTTGAACCAACCCATATATATATATATAGTTCGACTCACATTTTGCATAATTTACGAAAATAACCTTTTTAATAATATTCATATCACTTGCATCCTCACATGTTAACTTTGCTAGTCTCTACATTTACCAGATGAAATTCAAACAAATAAAGTCGGGATTCATGGAGAAATTCGAGGGCTCCTGGAAAGTCGAACCCTTATTTATTGACCAAGAATTATGCCATCCTTTTAAACCCAAGTCATTATCTGAATACGAATCGTGCACGAGAGGCAAAGGACGAATAGCCTCAAGGCTAAGTTTAGAGCAGCTTATACAGCCGGCTGTTGTACCTCCACCACCCATTTCATGGTATCTAAGAGGGATTACAACAAAAACGACTGAGATGTTGATTCATGATTTGCTTTCTGAGGCTGCCCGAATTAGGCTATCTGGAAAATTTGATGATAAAAATGGTAAAAGTGTCCAAAGGGATGTGTGTGGGATTAAGGAAAGATGGGCTTTGAGAAGGAAAAATGGCAGGCACTCTCGGAGGAGGTTGTTTTTCTAATCCAGAGTTTTATTGAATTTGTATGTTGTTATAGCATCATTGTTCTCATGGTTAGTTTTATTTTGTTGGAGAAACAAATGGATAATAGTGCTCAATTCAACTAACTATTAGTCTGAGGAATTAGATATGTATAGTATACTAGTATGAAATAGGTTTTCTAAAATTGACATTCAATTTGAAAGTAGAGAGTACTTACTATGGTGAGGCAGGCTTTGTACGTGCCTGTCATCAGTTTACCCATTTATGAACCTTTGCATTGCAGTTAAAATAAATAAATTAGTGATAATTCGCAACTAGTCCATGTGTATAAAATATTCATCCAAAAAATTATTATAACATAAGGAGTGATTTTGTTAAAAAAAATGGACGGAATAAAAAGTTTTTATGTTTGATATATATTTTAATAGGAAAAGTGTAAATCTTTCTTATATATATTTTTAGAATGTATGAGCAGGCTTTTCCAAATGCTATATTGCAAAAAATTATACTTTATAGCTAGATTTAGATATAAATTAATAATTTTATACAAAAATAATTAGGCTTGCATTAAATTAGATATCTATAGTATAACTTGCTAGCTGATTTAATACCCTCTCTCTCAACCACATATGGAAAAACCTTTCCAAAAATTTCCCTCACCTCATAGAAATTTTCTGGGAAAATCGTGGAGGCTCATACGATTGGCGCGTAGTCAAGANAGTGATGGTGATATAAAACCATGAGAATTGAGATAAGCAAGTTGATAAGCAACGGTTTTCAGCCATGGACGCAATCCTCTCTACCTCCGCATTTTCCATCAGAAATCCCCTACTCTGCAACCGCCATGCCACTCCATTTTCCGTAAGCTTACAAGGAATAAAAACGCAGACCCATTTTACGCGAAAGCGTTTATTTTATCCAAATCAGTCGCCACACAGAATATGTGCAAGCTCTCAACCTTCTCCTTCTGTTGTCACTTCTTCTTCTTCTTCACCTTCTACCATACCGTCTGAAATGAAGGCGTGGACATACAGCGAGTACGGCGGAGTTGAGGTTTTGAAGCTCGAATCGAATGTTACGGTGCCGGAAATTAAGGAGGATCAGGTTCTGGTCAAAGTGAAAGCTGCTGCTCTCAACCCTATCGATTTTAAGAGGAGATTTGGGAAATTCAAGGCCACTGATTCACCTCTTCCAGTAAATTCTCTTTCAGAACATCTCTTTTCTTTTTGTGGCTAAAGCCCGTTCAGAGTTTTATTTTTCATAAATAATCTAATCAGAAATCACGCGCAATGTTGTAAGCATAGGTGAAAGAAAAGCTATAACAATAATTTATACTCAGAGCCATTGTTGACTTGTTTTGTGTGAAATTGGGTGTTAATAAATGCGAAATTTCAATTTCCTCAGACTGTACCGGGCTATGATGTTGCTGGTGTGGTTGTTAAAGTTGGGAGTCAAGTGAAGGGTCTGAAGGAAGGAGACGAAGTGTATGGAGATGTAAATGAGAAAGCATTGGATGGGCCAAAACAGTTTGGGTCATTAGCTGAGTACACAGCTGTGGAGGAGAAATTGTTGGCTCTCAAGCCCAAGAATCTCGATTTTTCTCTGGCAGCTAGCCTCCCTCTCGCGATTGAGACGGCTTATGAAGGTCTTGAAAGGGCTGGGTTCTCCGTGGGCAAGTCCATACTAGTTCTTGGTGGAGCTGGTGGTGTTGGATCCTTAGTGATTCAGGTGAGATACTATTATATGTACTGGTATTAGGTTATTCTCTTCTTGTGATGAATTTTTGCTTCACAAGTCTAGTGCAGAACTTCCCCATGATAAATTCGTAACATGATCCTCAAATTGTTGATTATTACAAGTCTAGTGTTGTGGCTGGTCTGGTTTCTAAGCTCAGAAGGGCTTGGGCCCCAAAATTTGAAGCTCGTAAAAATTTTGGATGCAGAGCCATTAGCAGAGCTATAGCTGCACGTTTTTAGAGGTCAATCAAATTGTTTTGTACTACTGATCTTGAAGAAAGGCGTGATCTATATGGTTCTTAATATTAAGAACAACAAAATTAGGCTTACTTGGTCAATTGGCTGAACTCTTCAAAAAGGGTACAAGATTCAAGAAATGTTTTGTGTTCACTTGATTAGTTTATCTTTTCCTCCCGAGTTCTGCCTTATTTCTCCAAGTCTATCAATTAGCCAAGCTTTTAAATTAGATTCATATGCCATAAGGTGATAAATAGACTTCCTAGAAGCAATTGGGCCCATCATGCATATTTTTGTAGTTTTCTTGTCTATGCAGAGGACTGAATGCATGATGCTTAATTGCTTATAGAATCTCTGGCCATATTTAAAAGTACTAACTCTGATAGTAAATATTTATAGACGATAGCAGATCTAGTGTGCATTTATTTTTTTTAAAATTGAAATGTGGCGCCAAACACGAGCTTTGGTTATACTTATGCAGTTAGCAAAACAAGTGTTTGGTGCTTCAAAGGTAGCTGCTACATCCAGCACAAGCAAGTTGGAATTTTTGAAAAGCTTGGGGGCCGATTTAGCTATTGACTACACCAAGGAGAACTTTGAAGACCTACCCGAGAAATTTGATGTCATTTACGATACAGTTGGTAAGAATTAATAACGATCTTGTTTTTGCATTTGCTAGAAACCATTGGTTTAGTTAGTTTCCCACGATGCATATTCAAATTTTTTATTGAAGAGTAGATTTTTTTTTTATAATAAATTTAATTCCAAGTGGCATGATCTTGACAGGGCAATGTGAGAAGGCGGTGAAAGCTGTGAAGGAAGGTGGCAGTGTGGTGGTCCTTACTGGTGCAGTTACACCGCCCGGTTTTAGATTTGTTGTCACTTCAAATGGAGAATCTCTAAAGAAACTGAATCCATTCTTGGAGAGTGGGCAAGTGAAGGCTATTATTGATCCTAAGGGCTCCTTCTCTTTCGACAAAGTAACTGAAGCTTTCTCATATCTTGAGACGAACCGTGCTACTGGGAAGGTGGTTATATATCCAATTCCCTGATCACATACTCAAGTCTCACATGGCTGTTGACATATCCAATTTACGTTAGTACAAGCTTGAACCATTTTTTTTTTTTTCGAAATAATAGATTATATATATATACATATAAAACATAATTACAATTCTAAAATAGCTATCAGTTGAATCAAATGAGAGGTCTACACAACTCTGTGTAATCTAGGAGGGGAAAAGTTCAAAAGTAGTTCCACAGGTATAGGGGGTGACAATTTTGGCCCCGACGAAATGCAAAAAATATGAATAGTCCCACAACTTTTAAAAAATGATCAAAAGTAAGACTTTTTTTTCCGGATTTACGATTTCCGGCTTGGAACACCACGTGTCGCACGTGGCTTATTTTTTTTACACGTAGGCATCCGACATAGATAAGCACAGTTGCCAATAAAATGTGGACTATTAAAAGCTGTGGGACTATTCATATTTTTTTGCATTCCGTCGGGACAAAAAAATGTCAACCCCCTATACCTGTGGGACTAGTTTTGAATTTTTTCCTATCTACGTCGGATGCCAGCGTGTGAAAAAATAAGCCACATGTGCGCGACGTGGCGTTCCGGGTCGGAAATCGTAAATTCAGCAAAAAAATCCTACTTTTGATCATTTTTTAAAAGTTGTGGGACTATTCATATTTTCTGTATTCCGTCGGGACTAAAATTGTCAACTCCTATACCTGTTGAACTAATTTTAAATTTTTCTCAATCTAGGAGCTGACTATGCTAAAACTCACCCACAAGTCTGNAAAAGCAGGACTTAACACTCCCAAAAAGAAAGAATAACAACACAAAACTTCTATTTAACACTCCCAAAATGGTGAACAACATAAAGCACACCAAAAAAGGCAACATGAAACGCTCCCAAAAATGGATTAGTTGTTTTATTTATTTATGCTAGATGATTCAAGAGTTTTTTTTCTTTCATTTTGGTTGGACGTTGTCATAATAAACATTCATATCCATTGGAACCCAATACATAAATAGTATGACAAAATTCTTCTTTATTCATTTGACAAATGTTTACTTTATCCAAAAACTTATATATATTCTAGCCAAATATAGTCAAACTTCATGATTGTATGGTCTTTATAAAGTATTTCAATTAACAATTCAGTAATATCTATGCGAAATGACTAACAGTGTCATTAAAATTCTTGATAGTTTTTTTTTATATATATATATATATATATCATTATATAAACTATTACTTTTACTATCTATATAGACAAATTGATACATATCCTATGGAGGCATCGCTCCATTGGGTGCGAACGAACTTCATCTTCAAATAAAAGTTGACATTTCAAAATTTTGGTTACATGTACTTCTTCTAAGGCGCTAAATTATTTTTAAATCATCACAAATTACATTAAAGTATTTACTCTAAAGTAATTTCACATATGACAACTTCATTTAAACATTAGAAAAATATTTTGATCAGGCCCTCACATTCCATTTTCAATGCTATTTATTTAGAAAATAGATGAACTACATAAAATATTGTTTGGAAATCATTGACATTTAAATTATTGAATGATTTTAGAGTTTATCATATTATCTTTCACATATCGTTTGGATTTGCAATACTTATATATCTAATAACTTTTTTAATGCTTTATTGTCCAACTTTTTACATCATACATAATACTTGAAGATTCAAGATAAACACCCTTTTCTTGATTCTTCAACAATGACGAAACAAAACAAAACAATGAGACAATATTAAAAAGTATATCATTTATCAAAATATTTGAGAGTAGAATAATTAGAATTCTATTATATTATGGTACTCTTAGTCATCTGTGAACTTTATTATCACGAAAACGTTATTAAAATCAACATTATGTATTACAACATTTATAATTTTAGTTATTCAAAATTAAAAATTAATAGTATAAGATCATTATTTATAATAACCAATTTCTTACAGAGTCCATATATTTAAGCGCTTCAAAAAAAAAAAAAATAGTAATTTTAGAAAAATTTTGTATCTAGATATTAGTATACATACTTCTAGTAAATTCATACTTTTACTTTATTCCATTGCATTACTATTGTTTTATCTGTATCTTATTTTATTCACAAATAATATTTTATCTGTTCAAAAAAATTATAGCACGTTTATATGTATTGAGTTATTTTTTTGTAATTATTTTAATATCATGATGTTGTCATCAAAATATCTTATTTAGACTACAACTAATATAATAGCATAAGATAAAATACTATTTAATATTTAGTAAAAATAAAATGATCTCCGCTAGTAAAAAGTCTAATGAAATTGACAAATTCAAAGGTTTTAAATCTTTCAGACACAAGTTCTGGCCAACATAAACATGTAGAGCAAAACTGTCAACAGTAACTCCACAAAGCAGAGATAATAAAACAAGAAAAGGAAAAATAGTGCTCGAAATAACATTAAATTATGCATGAAAATCTCTTATGGACCTTCATACAGTCATGGAAGGAGAGAGGTTGAAGTCGAGGTTCCAAAGTTCAAATGAGCCCTTGACAAAGTCATAGTGTCCACCTTTCAATGAAAGAGTCTTCTTCACAACAGCTTCCCTCACAAATGGATAGGTCAAAAGATTCCCCAGAGAAACGTTGACCGCTTCCTATACGGACACAAAACATATGTATTGGGACAATATTAAATAATTGTTTGACAAATATTATTTATTTATTTATTTATTTCGAAACGATAGAAATATTATAAATTGAATCATGAAATTAGCTAGGGACGAATTAGGAAGCTTATTAGATATTATTATTATATTAGGTATTTTGAATTTTACCTTCTCTAGATGAGTGCACTGTTCGCTGAAATCCAAATTGTTACATTCTGCCTTAACCTTAGTCTTGGCCGGCTTGCAGATGTTAACCCATTCTTCTATGAAGTCGCTAAATTTTTCACGCAAAAATTAGAAAATAAGTATATTGTACAATTTCAAACACCAAATATATTATTATATAGAAATTTGATTAGTAGCCAACCAATGAAAAATAGCAGTAACATGTCAAAAAGAACTAAAGATGTATGATTCGATGTGGATGTTTAAACCGAAATAAATAAAAGGTGTAGGTGATCATTTATCAGGGAGTTCATACACATAATTGATAATCAAGACCTAAATTACAGAAATTTTTGTTGTATTATATAAAGGGATATATTCCGTTATCACAATTTCATGAACAATCATTAATTATTCTAAATAATTATCTCAATCCATACAAAAAATCTAACTCAATTTTAACAATCCTACTATCTTCAATATTATATTATCAATCAATCATTTCAACACATCCATCAATTTTTGTTTACTATTCATCTACTCACATAATTTTAACTAACTATCACTTCACATCATCAATCTCATACTTTTACATTGAATCAATTTAAAAATTATTTTATTTTAAATATTCTCAAAATTCACTAACAACTAACCATACCAACTTTTTTAAAAATTAACCATAGTCAACCAAATAAACCTTATATTTGTATACAAGCAACATAATCATAAAAGATAAAAGGACAATAGTAAAGCTCATTTGAAGTTCATACACATAATTGTACATTTGATGTACAAGAAATGTTGAAATAGCCATAATTCAATTCAAAGAACACTAACCTTTGAGTGGTCCCATCATCAGGGATGGACATTAGACCCTTTATTCCACCACAACAGCTGTGCCCAATCACCAATATGTTCTCCACCTAACACCATAACTTCACTCATTTTTTAATTTGTCAATGAAAATGATATATAGGAATAGAATAGCCACCCCTTT